AACACTCTCCATAACTGCCCCGGGACTACCTCTCCAAACTCGCCCCTGGGCTCCCTTCTGTTTCTGGAACACCAGGCTCAGTCAGGCTTCCAGGCCCAGCACCAGCTGTTCCTTCTGCCAGGAATGTTCCTCCACTGTCTCCTCGCAGCTGGCTCCTTAACTCTGGTCGCGCCTTAAGTGTCACCTCCTCCCGGAGAGCCCTGAACTATCTGCTCTATTTTGACTAAAACTGCTCTCCCCTCCCCCAGTCACTCTCTGTTCAATCACCCTATCTTATTTTCTTCACAGCAATTACCACCGCCTGAAATAACTTCGGTGGTTGTCCCTCTGACAAATACAGTTTAATCCCCGTGAACACAGGAACCAGTCTGCTTCGCTACTACCTCCCCAATGCCTAGAGCAGCGCCTGTCGCCCCACACCTGCTGTTGTTGGGTGCTGTGGAGTCAACTTCTGTTCATAGCATGGACCCGTGTAACAGAGTACAACTGTTCCATAGGGTTTCCTAGGCTGTAATCTTTGCGGGAGCAGATGTCAGGCCCTTCTTCCGTGGAGCCACTGGTGCGTTAAACCGCCGGCCTTTCAGTGGGCAGTAGAGCACTTAACCATCGCCCCACCAGGGCTCCCTGCCCAACACCTAAATCCCAAAAAAACTCTTTGTCAAGATGAGTGGATTCCGACTCATAGCGACCTTAAAGAACAACGTAGAGCTACCTATAGGATGCCCAAAGCTGAAATCTTTACAGAAGCAGAGGGCGGCTACATCCTTCTCCCGCAGAGCAGCTGGTGGGTTCGAGCGCTTAACCACTGCGCCACCAGGGCTCCAACCTAACACCTAGTGAGTGCAAAACAGCTATCTGTTGAATGAAGCCTTTGCATCCCTTGCCAAACCGAGCAGAGTGCTCTGCACCACGAACATACTGCGTGAACCGACACAGACACCGTTAGCGGACGTGCTGGGGGCGGGGAATCGCATTTCACTGGCTCTCCGAGGCCCGACCCCTGACGTCCCGAGTCTCGACCCCGACGTCTGGGGCAGGTCCGGGAGGGCCCGCTCCTCCCAGTCCTCCAGTTCCCCTTCCCGGCCCGCCAGTCCCCCGTGCACCCCGTGGCTCCTGGGCCCGCGCCCGCTCACCGTAGGCGTAGATGCCACGCAGCAGGTCCTCCCGTAGGCCCATGGTGTCGAACGTGGGGGTCACGTCCACCTCCTCGCTGGTCTCGAATTCCACCTTGGTCATGTCCTCCTCCTTGAGCAGCCGCTTCCGCGCGGAGCCCGAGGTCGCCATCGTGGCCGTGGCCGCCATAATCAGAAGTCGGCCGAGAAAAGCGCGCACGCCGCGGCAGCGGCTAGTCCGAGGCGGAAAGCGGAAGCAGGGCCCCGCAGCCGCCGCCGCCAGGAAGTGACGCCACCGCGTGCGCCTGCGAGTGCGTGCTTGCGTGCGAGGGGCGTGGCGCTCTTGGTCAGGTGAAAGGGAAAAACGTTTGCCGAAGGGAAAGTGGAGGAGGGTGCTGTTCTCGCGCGATCTGGAGATCCCGCGGAAGGAGTCCTTATAAAAGGCGTGGAGGCTGCTGGAAAAGGGTCTGGCAGGCGCCCCGCGCGACGATGTTGGGGAATTGTGATTTGAGGTCTCTACTTAAGATGGGGCGGGTACGCGTTCCGGGGCTTATCGGAGCAGCAGGGTGAAATTGCAGCCGGGAGTCGCCGTGAAACTGGAGACCCTGAAGTCAGGCTGAGGGTTGGCACCCAGGTACCTGGACGGGGTCTTCACGTGGTTCCGCCTTGAGCGGAAATAATTTTTGTAAATCTCTAAAATATGTATATTTACTCGTTTATACGTTTTAGGCTGATGTTATTACTGGTTAATATCTCACCGTGTGAAATTCATTATTACTGAAGCCAGATGGAAATCCATATTTCAAACAATTGATTTTGGGATTTTTTTAAATTTTTGAACTGCCTTTTGTCGGCTGTGATTATATTGCTGTTTTTTAATCTTCTAATGTGACTGAAGAAAGCTCTTACCAGAGTTTAGTTACTGTCAGAGTCAACAAAACGTAGCCCAATACTACGCCACCTTCATGAGCGTTGATACGTTCGAGTCTATTGTTGGCGGCCGCTGTGTATTATGAGTGCCTTCCAACCTAGGGGGTTCATCTGTCAGCTCTACATTTTTCAGTATACAATTCAGTGGTATTAATTACATTCTCCATGTTGAACAACCATCACCACTATTTATTTCCAAAGCTTTTTCGTCACCCCAAACAGAAACTCTGTACCCCTTCAGCTGTAACTCCCATTCTGTTTCCCCAGCCCCTAGTAACCACTCATTTACTTTTGTCTCTATGTATCTGCCTATTCTAGGTATTTCGTGTAAGTGCAATCGTGCAGTACTTGTCCTTTGAGGGCACTGTATAGTAATAGAAAAACTCTTCGTTTGAGAGGGGCCCTTGTTCTCGCTGCAGTTACCCAAAACCTTCTGTCCTGCATGATGACAAAACTGACAAGTCTCCTATGATCTACTGTACGAACTTCCAGCTCTGAGTCCCTTAAATAGTGGATTTATTCTGCTTGTCACCCCTGGACCCTTCATCCCAGCCCCCTCAGCGTTTCAAGAACAACAGGGCTTCCGATCACTGAAGTGAACTCAGCGGTCATGTTCAGGCTCAGCACTCTGTCTGTCTCCTGCTCCTCACTCCCCACACAGCTTATATTTTTTGAGGGTCAGGAGGTGTCTCACCTGATCAGACTGTAAGTCAGGAGGATAGGAATCGTGTGTGTTCTGCTCACCATTGTGTCCCAAGCATACAGTTGTTAGGTGCTGTCTTAGGCTAGGTTTCTCTAGAGAAGCAAAACCAGTGAAGCATATGTGTGTGTGTGTGTGTGTATGTATATATAATATATATAGAGAGATTTGTCTCAAGAAAATGGCTCACGAGGTTGTAGAGGCTGGACTGTCCCAAGTCCGTGGGTCAGGCTGGAGGCTTCTCCTGACTCACGTAGCTGCAAGGGCTGACGAATCCAAAGTCAACAAGTAAGACAGCAGGCTGCTGGCCTGAGTCCCCAGAACTGGCGGTCAGATGCTGATGAACCGAATGCAGGATCCAGAGCAGAGCAAAAGCCAGTGAGCTTTCCCAGAAAGACCACATACATTGACTATAGGCCACACCCCTAAGGAAACTCCTTTTCCACTGATTGGCCACTGACAGCAGATCCCATCATGGAGGTGATCACATTATATCAGATCTCATCATGGAGGTGATTATGTCCTCATCCAACTGCCAAACCACCGAGAGTTATGGCCCAGCCAAGTTGGCACGCAACCTTAACCATCACAGGTGCCGTCAAGTTAGTTCCGACTCAGCGACCTTACGTAAAACAGAACGAAACACTGCCCGGTCCTGCGCCATGCTGGCAATCATTATGTTTGAGCCCATTGTTAACAGCCACTGTGTCAATCCATCTGGTTGAGGGTCTTCGTCTTTTTTGCTGACCCTCTACCAATCATGATGTCCTTCTCAAGGGACTGGTCCCTCCAGATAACATATCCAAAGTACATGAGACAAAGTCTCATTATTCTTGCTTCTAAGGAGCATTCTGGCTATACTTCTTCCAAGACAGATTTGTTCGGTCTTCTGTCAGTCCATGGTATATTCGGTATTCTTTGCCAACACCATGATTCAAAGGCATCAGTTCTTCTCTGGTCTTCCTTATTTATCGTTCAGCTTTCACATGCATATGAGGCAATTGAGAATACCATGGCTTGGGTCAGGCGCACCTTAGTCCTTAAAGTGACATCGTTGCTTTTGAACACTTTAAAGAGGCCTTTTGCTGCAGATTTGCCAAATGCAATTCATTTAATTTCTTGACAGCTGCTTCCATGGGTGTTGATTGTGGATCCAAGTAAAATGAAATCCCTGACAACTTCAGTCTGTTCTTTATCATGATGTTGCTTATTGGTCCAGTTGTGAGGATTTTGTTTTCTTTATGTTGAGGTGTAATCCATACTGAAGGCTGTTGTCTTTGACCTTCATCAAAGTCCTCTTCACTTGAAGCAAGGAAAGTTGTGTCATCTGCATATCACAAGTTGTTAATGAGTCTTCCTCCAATCCTGATGCCATGTTCTTCTTACAGTTCAGCTTCTCAGATTATTTGCTCAGCATACAGATTGAATGAGTACGATAAAAGCATACAACCCTGACACACACCTTTCCTGATTTTAAACCACACGGTATCCCCTTGTTCTGTTCTGACAGCTGCCTGTTGGTCTGTGTATAGGTTTCACATGAGCACAATTAAGTGTTCTGGAATTCCCATTCTGCAATATTATCCGTAATTTGTTACCATCCAGATAGTATACAGTAGTACTCAATAAATGCTTGTTGGCTTGCCAACTGTATGATGCACAGGGCGAGAGGAGGGAGGGACACAGGACACAGCCTCAAGAGCTTCATGAACTCACACGGGCGCTTGAGGCAAGGCAGAAACAGCTAGGTGGCTCCACCTATCAGGAGCTGGCCGTCTCTTTCCCTGTACCCATGTTGGCTCTTGGGATCTGGGTGGAGAAGGTCAAGGTGGCCAGTCCTGTCCAGACGCAGCGAAAGTTTGAATGCAGTACTGCTGTCTGGGCTGGGTTTTGTGTGAGTCATCTCTGCACGAGGTGACGCCCTAGATAGAAGTAACATTGATCCCAGGGGGTGTCCCCAGTTTGTGACTTCCTGCCATAGGTCCCCACCCACTGTGCGGTATTGAAGGACAAACACTGTTCCTTTCTAGGCTCAGCCCTCTGTAAACTATCTGGCTGGGTTGGGTCCCTCACAAGGCGCTGACCAAACCCACCTTGCAGCTGCCCCGCCTCCCGGACCCCCTGCCCGTTCATGAGGTCCCTGGGTAGCACAAATGGTTTGTCCTCCAAGGCTAACCCAAAGGCTGGCAGTTTGAACTCACCCGGCAGTGCTGCAGAGGAGAGGCCTTGTGATCTGCTTCCGTGAAGATGGCAGCCAAGAAAACACTATGGAGCCATTCTGCACGGTAACACATGGAATTGCCGTGAGTCAGAATCGACTTGATAGCAACGCGTTTGGTTTTGGTTTTGGTTTTGGCCATCGAGTGGGGTCACCCATCCAGGCAACAGTGACCCGTTGTGCAGCCGCTGTCCTGGGTGCTGGACTCAGCGGTGAACCTGATGGAGGGCATCTGCCCTCTCACCACGTACATTCCAGTACAGGGCAAGATGACAAAATGCCCGAACAAACAAGATAATTGCAGGTTTCATAATTACTAGGGAGAAAATACGGTAAGGTAGAGTGGAAGAAAGGAACTGGGTGGTTGATTTATGAGTGGCTGGAGGAACGTGCTCCATGAGAGGTGGTGGCTGCAGGGACACCTGGGGAGGAGTGTTCCAACCAGAAGGAGCAGTGAGTACAAAGACCCTGAGACAGGAATGAGACGTGACATACAGCCAGAGGGGATGTGGGGTAGTGAATGCGGGAAGGTTGGGTGGGGGGATCAGGGAGTAAGGGAAGAGTGAGCAGGGCCAGATCATAAAAAGTCTTATAGCCTATGAATTGGAGTTTACGTTTTATCATGGTTGCCATAGGAGCCACTTTGGGGTGGTTTTTTTTTCTCCTCCTTTGGGAGGAGGCGTGTTAGTTCCCTAAACCAAACAAACCAACCAAACCAAACCAAACCCGTTGCTGCCAAGATGATTCTGACTCATAGTGACCCTATGGGGCTGCCGTAACAAAATACTACAAAGTGGGTGGCTGATAAGGACAGAAATTTGTTGTCTCAATATATTAATTAGATTAAAAAAAAAACATAAAAAACAGGAATTTATTCTTTCATGGTTCTGGAGGCTGAGTCCAAGATCAGGGCGTCGGCCATGTTGATTCCTTCTGGGGCTCTGAGGGAGAACCTGTAGCTGCCTCTCTCCCCGCTACTGGTGGCTCCACGTGTTCCTTTGCTGCAGCTGCAGTGTCACATGGCGTCCTTCCTCTGTCCCCTGTCTGTGTTTCTTTTTTATAAGAATGCTAGTTACATAGGATTAGGACCCATCCTACTCCTATGACCCTTTGTTAACCTAACTGATAACATCTTCAAAGACTCTGTTTCCAAATGGGGTCACGTTCATGGGTACCAAGGGCTTGGGCTTCAAATTATCTTTTTAGGATATACAATTGAATCCACAGCAAGAAGGGGGAGGGTACATTCTGATAAACAGGTTAGAAAGACCACCTGGCTGCGTGGTGGAGGATGGAGTGTGGGGGCAGGAGAGGAGGCAACGAACCCAGCTGGAGAGATGGTGGCGGCTGCTAGAATTGTCACATGGAGATGGCGAGGGGAGGCGAGATCAACAAGGATGATGGATGGAATGGACAGGCGGTTAGGGTTCGAGAGGATGAAGATTACTCCTGGGTTTCCAGTATGAGCAGCTGGGTGCACCATTAAGGGATGGGGAAGCCGTGGTCACGGTGTTATGATGGCTTTGGAGCAAAATCATTAACCAGTTGTCCTGGAGTTGATACCAACTCATGGCGACCCCATGTGTGTCAGAGTAGAACTGTGCACCATAGGGTCTTCAATGGCTGATTTTTCAGAAGTAGATCACCAGGCCTTTCTTCTGAGGTGCCTGTGGATGGACTCGAACATCCAGCCTTTCAGTTAGCAGCTGAGCGCGCTTATCAAGTGCACCACCCAGGGACTCCAGGTCTGACTTAGCTGGGCTGCATGTGAGACGCCCTGACGTCCAGTAGAGGTGGCAGGTGGACAGCTGCATGCATGAGGGTGGTACTCCAGCACGCACTCTCTTACTCACAAGTGAGAAGCAGCAGGGAGTGACCAGTTCTATTTGCTCGTGCAGAAATAGCTGCTTCCTGCCCTTCCCCACACCACTCATCACGTTACCACCAGAGCTGGGCTCTTCCTGCTTTCCTCCAGAGGTGGGTGTGGAGGTGGGACTCCCAAGTCAGGGAAGAAGGCAAGGCCCAGAGCCCCACTGGAGACACTCATTCAGGTGGTTGAGAACCCATTTAGAATGTCGTGAAAGAAGTCCTGGCGTCTTCCCGACCATTAGTTAGAAGAGGGAAGAAGAATCACAACTCTCCCTATGTACATATCCTGATCCTCTATTCAGCACCTGCCCACGGCAGGATAGTGGGGTGGGGTCCCCTTCCTCACCTAAACTCCTGTTCTTGGGACTTCTGGGTAACATGGCGCTCTAAGCAGAAGCACCACACCATCCCTTCACAGCAAAGATCCAAAAAACTAAGCCAAACAGAGAAAACAGCAATCCTGAAACCCTAAGCATCAAATGAAGAGATGAAGAACTCAGCCAAGCACCAAATGAAATAAGAAACTGACAGAGAAAGAGAGTGAGGAGACATACATGCAGAGGTCCCCTATCAGCTAATGCAGCACGGATCCACCATCTTGGACTCCTATCAGAGACCAGTGAACAGAGAGTAGGAGAAAGCAGCTTCATGGAGCTTGCAGCAGGAGACACAACAACTGGTCACCAGCGATATATGCTGTCCCACCCCCCACCCTTCTTCACCCCCAATCGGCCTCCTCTGCTTCCCGCGGCCACAGTCTCTTGGCCGGTAAGCACTGGCTGCTTGGATTCCACTTGCCCGCACTGGCCAACTCCCTAGTGCCATTTGTTGGCTGCTGGTGTTGGTTTTTTCTGCTTCTTTTTATTTCTTCCTTACCTCTCACCACCTCCCCCTCCTTTCTCTCAAATACCGGGTTCCGTGCACCATCTTTGCTTCTTCCTGAAAGGCTGTGAAACTCCGCTCAAATGTGAAACTGCTTCCCGGTCTGTGCTGCCACACTGGTGGGATCCCGGGGCTTTTTATAATTTGTTTTCTTTTTCTTTTCTCGAATTGGGAGCCCGTTCTAGCTGGGCAGTACTGCTTGGGACCTACCCCCTCAGTTTATGCAGACGCGCAGAGGAATCTCTGAGGACATTTCTTTTTATGTGTTTTTTTTTTTTTTTTTTCTGTTTTTTTGGTGGAGGGTTTCTTGTTCTTTTTTTTAATTTGTTTTGTTTTCTTTTCCCTCTTTTTGTCTTTCTTCATTACTTGGTTTCTCGTCGCTCTATACCTTCCTTCTCTTTCTGTCCCCTGAATACCTGGCGCTGAGTGACACCTCTACGCCTTCTAGCCAGGCTGTACTTCAACACCTGGGAGCAACTTCCCCAGCCCTCATAGCCATGCCGGTGGGATCCCTGGGAGCTTTTCTTTTTTCTTTCTAATTTTTATTTATTCGTTTTTTTCTTTTCTTTTCTTCTTTTTTCCATCTTCTTCTCCTTTTTGTTTTTTCCCATTTCATAGTCTCTTATCTCTCCACTCCAATGGCAAGCTCCCCTAGCACTCTTTTTTGTTTCTATGTTTTTGGCTTCTGTTCCTCTCTCCTCTCTCTCCTCTCTCCCATACCCATCTTAGCTCCACACATCACAATCTCTCCCCCCATCCTGCCTACCTGCACCATGTGCTTAACATCACACCACCAAGCAGCACAGGCACGGCCTAATTGAACCTGCCCTGCACTGATTATCAGCCCTTCCTGGTGGCCGTAGTAAGTGCCACAAACAACCCTCCTCTTCAGCTAGACCTTCTCTGCTGTACCATATCTGAGCGACTGACCCTGCCATTTGGAGGAGGCGAAAAGTATCGTGCCCAAAGACAAGCAAACAACAAAGAACACACAGCCCGCCTGCTCAGACATAGCCAAATAAAACAAAAAACCAGGATGAAACAAACAAATCTACAATCAGTAAACGAGAAAATTAACTACTGAATGCCCTGAAGACAGCAGACAATATCAAAACATTTACAAAAACAGGACAGGATGGTTC